GAGACTCTCTTGTTCCCACACATCCCAAAGGTTCTCTATTGGATTGAGCTCTGGTGACTGATCTGTGGAGGCCATTTGAGTGCCGTTATCTCATTGTCTATGTTCAAGAAACCAGTTTGAGATATTTTGAGCTTTCTGACAGTTGTAATACTCAGACAGGTTGTGGCATTTAAGTGTTGTTCAACTGGTACTAAAAGTGTTCCAAGAAAATCTCCATCATTACACAACCACCATCAGCCTAAACTATTTATACAAGGCAGGATGTATCCCTGCTTTAATGTTGTTTATACAAAATTCTGACTCTACCATCCAATTGTTACAGTAGAAATGGAGACTCATCAGAACCTGATAACATTTTCCACTCTTCTGTTGTCCAGTTAAGGTGAGCCTGTGTGAATTGTGGAGTCAGTTTCCTGTTCTGTGCTGACAGGACTGGCACCCAGTGTTTTCTTTTTGCTCATGTAGCCCATTTGCTTCAAGGTTCAACATGTTGAGAAATTCTCTTGTGCAGACCTTGGTTGTAATGGGCGATTGTTTGAGTCACCGTTGCCTTCCTATTAGCTCAAAGCAGTCTGGCCATCCTTCTCTGACCTCAGGCCCCAACAAGTAGATCATCGATTTCTGAAATACATCTATTCTGATGGTCTGTTTGAAGTTCAGCAGGTTGTTTTCATCATGCCTACATGTCTATTAACTTGCTGCCATGTGATTGGCTGATTTGATGAATGAGCAGTTGAACAGCTGTACCTAATAAAATGACCAGTGAATGTTATTTTCATTTTTCAAGATTTCAAACATTTGTTGCTCTTTCTCAGGGCGTAACAGTTTGCATGGTGTGATTTAAATACTGTGTTCCTTATTTGTTTAATCTATAAAGATTAGTTTTTGGAATTAATGAAGCATAAATGAACATATCTTTCCGTTTAATTGCTTTTTTTTTTAACCCACTGTCAAATAAAACAGCAATTAATTAATTGATGTTTTCTGTTCTGATATCAATTTTATCGAGTGGTAAAGAAGCATTTGCTCACCTCACAGACCTGGACGCTTCAAAATCATAGCAGCTGTGTCTATCATAAAATATTCCATCAGTGATAGGTTTAATTTCACTTGTTAATGTGCATTACTTTATTGTCATCTCAAGTTAAAGCACAAGAGGATGACCTTTTGAATCAGAGCTGTCAATTTTTAACTTTTTCTCTGCAAAAAAATCTACACACAGGAAAAAGCATCTAAAGTTGATCCAGTCATGTTTTGATGCAACTTGGAGGACAAACATCGTGATTTCTGTCTTTCAGGCTCTTCACCAGAGAATTCTAGACAACAACTTTGGGATTGTTAGATGCAAAGATCTGGTCTGGAGACGACAGGACTCTGAGAGGTTTTATGCTGAACATTCAGGTTTGGAAACAATTCATTTGTGTTTAAGCTTTACTTAAAAGTACTGCTGTAGTATATGATGTACCCAAATAAATGAATCAGCAGCCTATTTTAGCAGGGTGCACTGTATGTATGACAGTTAAAAGAAATAAATGTCTTGTCAAATGAAGGATAGCTGATTTCTCCTTTTTGTTATTGAAGGTCTTTATTCTTTCTTTCTTTATTATTTCTGTTTTACAAATCTCAGGGAGATTCTTCTATCAAAGACTTGTTGAATTCATGTCAAGGTAAGCCTCCATGCTTATATCATGGACAGATTTCGTTGACTCCATGTGATTGAGTTACAATTTTATGTGTTTGGATGATTGTTGTTGGGTGTTGTATTTTAAATGGAATAATGGATGGAGAGCCATCAGCACCTCTGCTGATAGCACTCCAATTTCATGCTCAGTAAGGCACCAGTAAACGATTTTCCCAAAACAGGACAACAGGAGTTTCAGTTATCCGTGTTTAGAACACAATTCCCTGGTGCAGTAGCCTAAATATCGCTATGCAGAGCACTCACAATAGGTCCTCCTGCTGCGAGCCTCCATTGGATTGTTAAAGGTGTTTGTAATTACTTTGTCTTTTTTTTTTTGTCTGCTCACAGCAGTGAAGCAGTAGTTGCTACAGCAACCCTTCTCTGACTGCTGCTATTGATATCGCAAACATAGGAAGCATCTTCAAGTCTGTCAGCCAGTCAAGCTTGATGCCGCACCAGCTGGCATTGTTTAGCTAAAACGGATTTATTTATGGCTGAACTGTCTTCCCAGGAGGTCCTGGGGGTGAATAGATTAGATTTGTATGAAGAGTGTTTTTTTTTTTTTTGGTCTGTTATCTAGAAAACATCAGCAGTGTTCAAAGTCAGATTCATGACTGCTGTGGAAATTTGTCCTCAGTGGGCCAATGCGAGCGTACATTTTAGCCAGGGAGGATGCCATAAGCCACTGGAGAGAACTGATGGGGCCGACCAAAGTGTTCAGAGCCAGATTCAACTCGCCTGCTTCCATCAGGGGCCAGTTTGGACTCACAGACACAAGGAACACAACTCATGGCTCAGGTAAAAAAGCTCCCAAGCTTCATAATGCTAAAAAAATGATAACAAAATGATATGCGTAATGTTAATAATCTATTATTGTGAATATATCATCTTAAACATATGCAAGAGGTAATAGTGGGGCGATCGTGGCTCAAAGAGTTGGTGGTTCGTCTTGTAACCAGAAGGTTGCCGGTTCGAGCCCCGGCTCGGACAGTCTCGGTCGTTGTGTCCTTGGGCAAGACACTTCACCTACCGCCTACTGGTGATGGCCAGAGGGGCAATGGCGCGATATGGCAGCCTCGCTTCTGTCAGTCTGCCCCAGGGCAGCTGTGGCTACAACTGTAGCTGCCTCCACCAGTGTGTGAATGTGAGAGTGAATGAATAGTGGAATTGTAAAGCGCTTTGAGGGCCCCAAAAAGCGCTATATAAATGCAATCCATTATTATTATAACTATATATAACTTTACACATGACTCAATTTCACATCTTTTAAAGCCCATCAGTTTCTATAATGGTGTTTGGTGTCATTGGGCAGAAAACAGAATAGGCATAGTCTGTGCAAAACACTCCTCTTTTCTTTTTGTTTCACTAGAAAATTAGGAAATGGGTACAATGATTTATTGAAACGTGCAAACATGCATGAAAATAAAAGGCAAAAACAGCTTTCTGTAGTTTCAGGAATAGTTCTCCAGGCTTTTTGAAGGACATGAAAAAACAAACAAAACATTCTTCAGAAGATGGTCAGGTAGAAGGACTGGACTGAAAATGAGGGAACAGCAGAAATCATGGAGAGCTATTTCTATTATAAGATTTATTATAAGTCTGGCTTATTTGGGAAAAAACTATAAAGAATTGAAGGCTCAAGACTTTTGCACAGTATTGTACATTTATATTTTGAACATGTAACAAGTAGTATTGCTGCATGAAAATGTAAGAAATGTTTAAGATTTGCGTTTATTTTCATAGCAGATCTTGGAATCCATCTTAATATTTTATAGTAACGTGTCTTTCTGGTTGCACATAAATGACATTTTTAGACCAATTAAAAAGAAGCCTGTAATTACTATGCAAATTTTTGATTTTCCATTCTGTTATTGTTTTCTGTAGATTCTCTTGAGTCGGCTCAAAGAGAGATTACTTTCTTCTTCCCAGACTTCTGTGCAGACGAGTGGATGAAAAAGGAGGAGCCATTGTTTAGATCAGGGCAGATCCGTTATGACCATCAAAACCAGATTCACACACTTTCATTGTCAAGCTGACACCAGATCAGCTCAACGCTGTCAACATCATCAGTATAAAGACTATTACTGTTGATCTATTGCTCACATATATACAGAGGTACCTCAGCTGAAGGCCACATGATTACCTGATTGTCTTTGAGCATGCCAAATGAGTTCATTTTAAAAGGACAGTACATTTCGGTGTGTAATTTATTATCATTAGAAAACACAAATAACGACAGAATTTTAAAAAGTAACCTCGATATCTTACAAAACACGATGCTGTTCGTGAGCGCTTTTTCTTTTTTATTATCACAAACCTCCGTCCAGGCTTCACTGTAAATAGTGCAATCGTCACAGTCAGTTTCCTGAGCCTTTTGCTTTGTAGGACAGCAGCGACTACAAATGGTGCATCAATGCCAAGTAACAAAACTATGAAACATTTATATCATATTAAATAATATTGCAGTAATAGTTTTACACCTATGTTAATGTTCAACCACATCTTAAAATGTGAAAATACTCTGGATTAAACTATTTTCGCGTTCAGTGCTAAGCAATGATTTCTTTACACTGATGTGGAAACAAGCTGTCAGCTGTAATATACTACAATTGCTTTTAATATGACATTCGCTGTAACATACCACGTTTTGTTTTGCCTGTTACCCCATGCTTGTTTGATCAAATGTCTCTTGTAAAAGTCTCCAACATGTCAGTAAAACATACATCGTAAAGTACTAAATGCACTAGAAATCAGATTTTTGTGCTTTCGACACCTGTCAGACCACAAAACCTGTTCGATTTCTTTCACAGTCATAATTATTTTCATTTTTTGGCTTCTTCCAATGTCCCCCTGCACTCAGGCGTTTTGTGTCGCCACCTGTTTGATAGCTTCCACTGGTTTCATGACCTCATATGTCGTGAGGGACTTCTTCACCTTCCCGTTCTTGTCCACCTGGTGGATGCTCTGGGTGACTGTAATGGTCACCTGCTTGGTCGACATCCGATTGTCCTGCCATTTTGTCTGTTAATGGAGAATAAATGGACAATAAAAAATAATAAAAAAAACACTGAAATACTGACAGTGTGGTAAATATTCTTCCTGGGGTCCTACACACTCAAGCCAACATCAACATGTCAGTGTAAAACAAGCCAATTCTGCTTATACAGACAGCACTGAATTTCGCAGAACATAAAACTAGTTTATAAAAGGACACCAAAAGAAGCGATAGTCAACATCTGCATTACTTCATTGCATCCAAGTGACTTCTTCAGTCTCAGCTGACTGCAGGTTACCCCAACCTTATAAACAGTACATTTGCACAGTAACTGAAAACAGCCCACTGAATGAACAATAGGTTGACAGGTCAGTTCCTTGATCATTAATATGCAAATTGTCATGACCATTGATCAAAGACCATTGGTCAATGGCCATAAGTACCATTCACAGAGAGTTGGGGAATGGCTGCCATCACAGCATTGTAAGATGGTGAAAGATGTACCCTTTGGCCCCCTCCTCGATTCATAGATGGTCTTTCCCTTTTCACGTTATGTCTCTGTCTTCATGTCTTAACAAAAATTTAAATTCATCTTTAGTACTCTGTTGCATAATATAAACTGGTAAGGAGTTCTATCCTATCATAGTTCTGTAAATTGTTTTCTGTGTGCACTTTTTAAAATTTCTTTTGATGAAGCACTCAACCAGATTACACTTCAGTAATCAAACTGCGACAGAACAAATTGATTTAAAACATGTTTTATAGCCTCTGATGTCATTAATGTTTAAACCACACCACTGACAGACCTCTACCTATATTACTTATTAAATTATAATATCAGTATGTTTCGACCATGTTAATTTACAATCCACTGTTCTACCTAATCAGTTTCTCTCCTGGTCTGCAACTGTTCCATGGGAATATTATTATTACCTAAGCTTAAGTATTTGTTTTGTTTTTGGTTGATACCTGCATTACCATACACTTTGGTTTGCTAACATTAAACATCAGTTTATTATCTTTCATCCAATTTTCTACTGCCTTCAAATATCTAACATATCAATTGAGATATTAAAATTTTTAAAAAAGAATCGTTAATAAAATCCAAAACTAACAGTGGTCCCAAACAGGTACCTTGAGGCACTCCACACATCACATTTCTTGTCTTTGACATACTATTAAAATAAATGGTCTGCCTGTGATTTGTCAGATAGCTTTCTAACAAATTTCAATGACATGCTTGCAAAATCTTAGAAGTGATTGTATGAATGTGTTTAGCTCCAAATGTGAAACGAAATGTTTGATGCGCCACACCTTAGATGTAGGTCAGTATTGCAGGGAAAAAAAGGTGCTGTGAGCTGTCTTGAGCACATTTAAACACATTACAGAAGGAAAGGCTTACAATCTCTTCAGTGTGCAAAACACTTCTGCGCTGCACTGTGGTTCCAGAAGAAGGCATCGTCGTGTCCTGCCGCGGAGAGCCCAGTGCTGTTGGTGTGCTGCTGGGCTTCACATCGTTCAGGCTGGCTTCAGACATGGCCGAGCAGACCTTTAGGTAGGCCTGAGCCGGTGGCGGGAGGCCGTCTTCAAAGAAATCTGGAACTGTAAAGATGTAGAGGTTCAGCTATGTCTGCTTATGTGTTTGTAGCTTTTATACATTTCTATGAATTTTCGTTTTTTTTCTCTTGAAGTTAATCAATTTCAGCTTGATAAGATAACCGCTATGCCACAATTAGCTTCTGTTAGAAGTCATCGGTAAATGAAACGGTAGCGATTACATATTGACAACTTAGTTGTCTTACACTGAACCAACTTGATGGTACTGTGGAGGCGTGAGCTGTGATCAGTTATTCGCAGGTAGTCGATGTTTGCATTTTACAGATGTGTGTACACCTCATCTCCTCGTTAATGTGTGACCATGTGTCTAATGATGACAGATGACATATGGTGCAGGTTGGACAAAACCAAAACACGAAATGAGGACATTTTAATGAATATTTTCTCTAGACATACTGAACCACAACTTATTATGATTATTGTCATAAAAATCTGTTTGGTTCCCAGCTGCTGATTAATTTAGCCAATTTTGGGTCTGTTTTATCTCTCCACATTGAAGCTCAAGTCAATTTGCCTTCACAATTACATCAAGGCTCCTCTCCCTGCATTCACTCATGCCTGTATCTGTTGCCATGAGAGCTGAGCCCTGTTTGAGCACAGTGGCTTTTGAAGCAGCCTATCATCCCCATTTACTGACTCATCTCCCCTTGGCTTCAAAGAAAAGAAGAGGATCCATCTAAGAGATTTATCTGTTTCTGATGTCCTGACCTGTATGTAGAGGCACATACAACTAACTGCACACTAGAAGAACAAAGGTCTCTAAAGTGGATACTTCCTCTGTCACTCATGTTTCTGTTTTCTTTCTTCTGCATAATGGATTCTTGTTGAAATCAGGCATGCCATCAGCACAGCCCTTGACATGAAGAGATGGTCCACTCCGCTTTGATAGAAAGAGTGTAAAGAATGGGCAAGTCATTGCTAGTATGTTCAAATTATTTACAGCAGTGAGATTTTAAAGGATGTACCTTACTCATGTAAAACGGCAGTAGAACAATAACATTAGAAACTACGGATTGATGCAAAAACAAACAGATTTAAAATCATCTGTTACAGATATATTAAATTCTGATGGGGAAGCCTCCCACCCCCCTTTATATTTCTTCATACAGTAATCAAGGATATTTCTTTTCAGCAGGTTAAATTAATGCCTGCTCCAGTTAAGAGATTAATTCAGTATTCATTCACCCATCTGCTCAGCCATACAGTAATTCATTCTTCTTACCAGGGCTGATTGTTTTCTCAGAAGTGAAGCCAGCCTCTGAGTTCTCAGAGGGGATGCTCTGGATGGATGACAAGGGGATATCTGTGTCTGTGCTCGTCAGCCATGTCGACTCTGTCTCTTTTGTCCAGCTCTCCAGGTAGCGAGGCTCCAAAGCGTCAGTTCTGCTGCCCCCACAGCCCATGACTCTTCACTTCCCAGCTCAAAAAGATTCACACTGGAAGTGATTTGAATCACAGGAAACTGTGATGTTAAGTGTGTGTCTACTGATCCAGTTCTTTACACGACATGCACTGCAAAACAATCTAAATGACTTAAAAATGATGAGATAATTACTCAGTGTGCCTGCTGTGCACTGTGAGTGAACAACCAGACCTCTGCAACACAGGAGTCATCCAAATACACTTATTTTTGCACGTTATTCTCTCATATGAGAGATATGACACAAACACATACTTACAGCACAGCACACAGCTGTGGGAGAAGCTGAGGGCCCTCATACAGTTAGTATGCATTAACTTCTATCCTTCAGAGAGCAGATTATGTGGTCCCACCCTCTGTTAACTCAGCTATGTTTAGGTTTGTTTAAGCAGCATCTTCTGATTATTAAGTAGACCAGGGAGACCGTGTTCAAATCTACAGGAGAGAGATGAGAGAAGTTATTGAAATGTGTGTTTTTCTATCAAAATCAAGTCTTCCTCAAATTGCATGTAAATAAATTCTCGGTTTCACTGATTGTCAGACACTGAATTAGCCGTTCGCAGTCAGGCCTTCGGGCTCTTTATACCGTCCTGTTTAACTTATTTAGCCCTCCCCCCCTTCAGATCATGTAGGTGGAGAGCGCTGCTGTAAAGCCATAAAGTCGCATATAGGCTGTTATATAAGCGAAGAAAAACACATAAATCATAGTATGTGGATCTGTCAGCTGGCGATACATAGGCAGCTTTCGCGTCACTGTCATCGTCACAGGCCATAGGAAAAAATATCAACACTGCCGTGAAATACATAAACAGAAAGACGAGATGTAAATATGTATGACGGAAACGCGAATGGCGCTGTAATGCAGATGAATCAAACACCGGACACTAACACAGATGATCTCTGAAGGCTTACGGATGCTGGAAAGTCGGGTTTTTGTCTTGCCTCGGTGCTTTTCCAGTGTGTCGTCTGCCAGTCAAACCAGTAACACACTGTTAATAATAATAATAATTATACTAGCGACACGAGCACAGCCGGTAGCACGCTGCGCGTCCGCACGCTGCTGCACCACCAGCCTCTTCATTCATCCTCCTGTAAACACACTGAACGGCGGATCTGTGGCGGAGCGGTGTATGTTAGAGCGTCCATCCTCTTGTCCTTAGGATGAGGGGGTGTACTTGAATTCAAGCAGAAAAAAAATCAAAGTATTACCTCAGCTGTTGCCAGGTAAACTTCAAAATAAAATAACGGTCCTCTGCGAGCGTTGATTGACTTTTGTTTGATAACCCCGAACTGAGTTGCACTTTATTTATTTCATTTCATATTTTATGACAGTATCTGATTCCAAATTTCTTGTCTATGCGGCCTTTAAAAAACGTGTTTACAGTCCTGACATAAAAACTACTACTTCTACTATCTGAACACACCACAGACTGAACCTTGAAGCAGTCTGTGGTGAGGATGAGGGGGCTACAGCAGCAGAAGACCACAATGGGTCCCACTCCTGAGAAAAGGAAGCGGAGATAGTCAGGCGGTTCTGAAAATGTTGTAAGGACTGTTAGGGAAGAGCAAATGTTATAACATATGTGAAACTATATACTTTAGGCATCTAAGTAGCAATAGTTTTGTGGTAGTAAGAGATGCTCTTCTGCAGACCTTGGTTCCGGTGAGTTGTTATTTGAGCTGCTGTTCCCTTCCTATCAGATTGAAGCAGTCTGGTTATTCTCCTCTGACTTCTGACATCAACAATTTTTTTCCGACAAAAACTTTCATAAATACATGACAGTCTGGGCAATGAGCAACAGAAAATTTTATGGAATTTTACACAATTAGCAGGTAGAAAAACTGAGACATGCTGCTGAAATTGCTCTTTAGATCTGTATGTGGGAAAATCCTAGTTAATCAGCAGTTCTTCAAGTACTCAGACCAGCATGTCTGGCACCAACAACCATTCTGGTTTGAACCTCATCTTGACCACTTCTACATGTCAGGCAGAGACACCATGGTTAGCCTCATAGCAAGAACCTTTCTGAGT